GACGGTTTGGTGTTCCACCACATGTACACACAGAGACAAACACACAGACACACACACACACACACACACACACACACACACACACACACACACACACACACACGTGCACACACATGCACACACAAGTAGGCTTACAATCACATGCATAATATAAATGAGCAGCAATATAAACAATAATAATCGTAAGCTAGATACACACTCAATGTTATTTTGATGAGAAACAGATCAAGATAGCGACCACTCAGTTTTTGTTTTACTCAGAGTTTTATAGCACTTGCAATAGAATAAAGTCATATCTTTCAAGGCCTTTGTAACTCAATTAAGTTTAACCAGAGATGAAGTTCTAATCCAAGTCTTTCTTTGTGACTTTCAGCCTAATTTTTTAGCAAGAGATCTGTACAAAGTACTTGCAACAGAATAAAGTCATATCTTTCAAGGCCTTTGTAACTAAATTAAGCTTGACCAGAGATGAAATTCTAATCCAAGTTTTCCTTTGTGACTTTCAGCTTAATTTTTCAGCAAGAGATCTGTACAAAGTATCAGACTGTACAGAAGGTTTGCTGGGAAAGAGACAACAATAATCACAACAGACTGGTTTAGTTTAGTTTTAGTAGAGGTTTTACGGCACTCGCAACTGCATAAGGTCATATGAGCGCCAGAAGATTAGAGGTGTTACACGAGAGTAACAAACATAAAAAAGAAGAAGGAGAGATAAGGACGATAGATGTTTGATAGGAAAGAAGGAGCAAACCACACCAGAGCACCCGCCAACCCCCCACCAACAGACCGCGACAAACTAAGAAACTAGTTTGTATTAAAACAAAACTACGGGTACAATTCCAAGCTTCTGATTTCAAAATACAAGTCGTTGTGTAAGCAAAAGGGTAAAGAAACTCAAGGTATTATTGAGGCTGAGACGACAGATATGAATAACACAGAAAGAAACAAATTGTCCAAACGTCCATTTTTTTTTAAAAGAAAAAGTTATCGCAATATCCTAGGTTTTCAGAATCGAGAGGAAGACCAGAAAGAAGGTAGCAAGATGACGCCCGCGAGCAAACTGGTACAATCTGGATATGGAGAACAAACGACAGAACAGAGTGGAGGTTTTAGTAGAGGGGGGGGGGGGCTTACATCCTGCAGTGGATGGACATGCCTAGTTGGAAGAAAAAGGTTTTCAAAATGTTAGATGTTCTCAAAAATGGCCCTCCTACTATAGAAGATGGAGGCCTGTAGTGGTAAAGAGTGAGGCATCGACAGACGACCAAGGCCATGGTGACGGGTAAAGTTAGGTCGGCTAGCTAAATCAGCGTCCGCGAGTAACCAATGGTTCGCTGGTACCACTCGCAAACAAGCTGACGGGTAACAAGCACTCCGCTTGTGAATATTCGTTCGCCATGCCCCCTGTTCGTTTAGCAAGCCAGCGGACGAAACGACTCCATGCATTTGAGCGGGCGGGCAGACGGACAGACAGGTAACGAACCCTCCATTTGTGAAGATTCATTCACTGCACCTCTGGTCGGCAGATGGCAAACAGTTCGTTTAGCAAGTGGGTGGACAGGCGAGGGACTCCTTGCATTGCATTATTTACATACCACTACAGCAGGCAGACAGGATGGCCAAACTAGGAGCACAGAAAGAGCAACCAGACAACAGCGTTAACTACACAGAAATAAAAACTATTATAAATACACTATTTAAAGCACCTCAGAAACCAGATAGCTACCATGAGCTGTCCCGCCAAGAACAAGTGATTATCTTCAGACTAAGGACACAACACACAAGACTGAGACAGCATATGTACAAATGTTTTAAACTAGTACAATCGCCAAAATGCCAGTGCGGAGAGGCGGACCAAACTGTTGAACACATCCGTCAGCACTGCAAGACACACAGGGCCCTGAGACAGGAAACGTGGCCAACCCCACTGACACTACAAGAGAAGCTATACGGGCCGACAGATGAACTGAGCAGGATGGCCCAATTTATGACAGATACCAAACTTCAAGTGTGATGCGATCGAGTAGAAGAAGACA